TTGTTAACATGTTAAAAGTACAATAAAATTATTGCCTACATTTATACTTACAGGTCAGTTGTCCAATAGGCTGTTGACGACTTCCAGTAATTGGCATAGTACAGGTCCCTGTTGTTCCCTGCATGTTACTAGGCAGAATGTAACAAAAACCCATATGTTCAGGAATGCACTGATCATTCTCAGAAGAAATGTCCATGTTACGTACATAGAGGTCTACCATATAGGCCTAGGAAATGAAGAACATCCTCGTTACATTAGTAGGTCTATTACTACAATAAACTTTGTGTGCATGTGTGTGTGTGTGTGTGTGTTCTTGCATTAAATTTCTTCTTTTTTTTTTAATTTATGATATGACTATCAAAATGGTCCATCTTTTGATTAAGTTTTACCATAACTAGTAAAATAATCTTTAACTCCAACATTATTTCAAATATAACAACTGGCAGCATACATAATTTCTTCAAATGCATTAAATTCAGCTTCAAATTTCAAATTGGTTCATTCTGCAATGTCTGATGACTGTATTTCTTCAGGCATAAAATATAAATGTTTCGGTATTAAATTAAATTCACCTCCAGACCACAAAACGTATTTAGATTAACTAAAGAAATTATGAACTTCTCAGAGATCCATGTTATGAATGAAAGACTGCATACAGCAATGAGAATATACTGAATGTCCTAGTCTTCTTTAAACAACCCACTGAATTTATGTTTTTTACAAGATTTTAGCGCACTAAACATTCTTGTCTTAAATCATGTTCTTGACAGTAAAATCAGGTTGTTCATAAGGTTAAGTTTTCCACAGAGCTGAGTAGGTCTTCTCTGACCCATGGAATAGAGGTCATCTCACAAACAGCTAAAAACAAAACAACTTAACATCAAGCACAGAACGAACTCCACACTGAATCTCATCTTCACAGAATTGTGTACACAACAAATAGTTAACACACTATACCAAGACTAAACGAGGTTTGGTGAATCTGATGCAGCTTCTAACTAAAAAAAAAAACCATTCATGCAGCCTTTCCACCGAGATAAACTTCTAAAATCTGCCATAAAAATGCAATAATGACTGGACCATATGATAAAATACAGAATAGAAGCATTAATGATTTGACCAAATTAAAAAACAAATCCTTAACAACTAGACTACATCATAGAAAAAGCTGAAGCCTTAATAAATACTATATGATAAAAAAAAAGAACAGAAGCTTTAATGACCAGACCACATGATCCAAAAAACAGATGCCTCAAAGAACCAAACGAAATAAAACTACCTGGTCTCTTAATATAGTAAAAATTTCTCAAGACAAAATTTGTACCCAAATGAAATATTATGCTAAATTTTGTATTAGACACTCATCATATTGGTTTCAGTTGTTATGTTTTAGTTATGTGTTTATAGCTGGTAATCTCCAATTCAAAGAAAGTAATATACAATCGTGCTGCAGTAAGGTAATGACCAAAAATGTCAACACTGTCAAATACTATTTTAAAAAACTGAACAGGATAATGTGGTCAAGTATAGTTTCAAGTATTAAAAACCTTCAAAATCTTAAAATTAATCATTGATCTGCCAAAACTATTTAACTCAAGGTATACATGTCTTCTTGGTGTTTAAATAAGTTGTCTTCTTAACAGCCTTGGGTCACAGGTTTTTTGGTGGAGTCTTTGAGAGTCGTTATTTGTTTTTTGACGTGCAACCTTCAGTATGAGAGTGATCCTCATTCACGAACAGCTGTAAGTTCTATTACATAAAATACGTCTACTGTAAATTAAAACTACAGTATGTTTTTTCAAATGAAATATAACTGTAATGTTTTATCTTCAAATAACAGATGAAACTCTTCATCCTGTCATGATCACATGGTTGAAACAAGAAAAATTTGAGAAAAAAAATAAGGAAGTTGCTTGGGCTTGGGACCTAAGAAGAAATGCTGTAATTGAAGGATGAAAGGCAGCAAGTTCATCTCGAGGTTTAGATATGGAGCACCAGGTTTGGATCCAAAATGTGGACTTGAATCTCTGTACTACCTGCAATATGAAAAACAAATACAGAGCAAAATCTAAAATCATTCATTCTCTCAACCTTTTTTAACAGCTCTAAGTGATAGAAGGTGCAACAACTGGTTTCTTAACGAGAAAAAAATAAATAGAAGTACACACTTGCAACAAAACAGTATAAATGTACATTGTTTTTATTCTAGATTCTAGAGGACTATACGACAAGTAATATAAACTTTATTTCAGGGAAGGAGAATGGGGCTGAAAAAAAAAGTATTTTTCAAATAACGCTTTCCATATTTCATTTTTAATTCTATAAATCATATTTGAAGTAGGTTACATTAACAACTCATAAAAATTTATAAAATAATCAGAATAGACGCCCAATCTGGTTGGATATTTTCTCTACACTAAATGATTACTAGCACATGAAGTAAGCTAAAAGGCTGAAGCCTATTACGACAAACTCTATGGGTAGTTGTTCAAATATACAGTGCTTTAAAGTAACTTACAATAGTCATTTATATTTATTTTATAAATAAATAGTAAAGATTACAATCTTACTACTGTGTGTGGTTTCAGCATCTGAGCCTGAAAGACAACATACTCTTCCGAATTGTACAAGTGTCCAAACTGTTCTTGATCGTGAAAAATGCATTCGGCATCGTTCATTACCTATTTAATCAAAACTAACACAGATCAGTTGACCAGACTCTATAATGGCTTCATAAACAAGTAACATATGAACCAAACAAAGTAAAATAAAATCAAAGTTCTTCCAATTAGGTACAATTCACAACTTATGATCTAATTTAAGCCTAACTATGGCCTTCTAAAAGTACAAACGTTGACGACTCTACATGTTTCAACATTACAACGTGTGTGTGTGTGTGTGATATTAATTCTTACAGAGTAATACTAAAAATATTTTGGATGAAGTAAATATACAACAGTCATTATCCTTACATTATTGATAGTTTTTTACTCTACCACCAGAGTTAGCAAGGTCTGGGCAAAATTCATGGTATTTAAATACTTCTCTAACATAATCACTAAATAATATTTACATACAATCATGTACTATTAGAAAAAAAAACATTTTCAGGCTTAAAGAGTTGAGAAAAACATACAGCAATTTCGATAACAGGCCAATTTGAACGACCAAACTCCATGTGGCTCTCTTGTTCACTGTCCTCCCTGTGAATATTTACCTGAAATACCAAAGAGTCTTATTTTCATTGGTGTTCCATACATATATACAATATGTTCTTTGAACATTTACATAACAGGTGTATCTACAAGTTTTGACAATAACTTAATCTATGTCAAAAACTGATTTTCGGTTCAAACTTTTTTCAAATATTTCAGTAGTAAAATAAAAATGAGTAAAAGTACCACAAATACAGAATTGTTATTGTTTATGAATTTATAACTATGTACTTCAGAACATAAAATTAATGCTCCTCTCTCATCTAATTAACGATTAAATTCTCTAACAAATGGTCAATCAAGTGTAATAATAATTACGCTGGTTAATCAGTCGAGTTTTACTTTGCCACAAACTTTAAAAATTCAATGAAATTAAATTATTAGGTTCCATTTATACTTGTATAGTATTTATAATAAATATTTATAAACAGATATGTTTATTAAGTTTACTAAGTAATTCTCGAGGAACACTTTCCAAGGAAGAGTTGAAAACATTAAAGGGGGAATGGGCTTTGATAATTTTCAACTAGCTCAAGAACAGATTCCTCACATTCCAAAGCAGTTATCTGCACATCACTTGTACACATCTTCAGCAAAACTTGCAAGAAACATTTTAAAAATTTGGAGAAACAACAAATTTCACTGTCTACACTAAAATAAAAAGAAACACCAGATATTTTTCATGTGCTACAACTATACACATATAAGTTTTATATCTAGAACAGGTCTACTTTAAACTTCTATTTTTCAAGATATTATTTGTCTGTGCCAAGAATTTCTGGCCACATCATAGTTCAATAAAACAAAATTGTACGAGTTATAGTATATTACTTAAATTGTTCTGGTTTTTGTGCACATACCCAGTACAATTTATTTCTCTTGAGATTCTGTCATTCTTTCGTTAAAAATTCAATTCAAAACAAATATTTTTGCTATTTGAAATTGATAAAGTAATTTTAAAGAAAGAAGAGCATAACAAGTACAAGAGTAAGATAGTTTCATAAACATTTCTGCAAATGATAGTTTTTCAGTTGATACATTTCTTATAAAACTCTAATGTATGAAATATTTTACCACAGTAAAATCTTAATATATATAAATAATTGATGTCATTTCTAACAATTTCATAAAAAATGTATACCTCTGATTCTCGTTTCCCAAGATCAACCGGAGAAACGTGCACAGAAAATGAAACATTTCGATATTTGCCTTTCCAGATGGTTATCGAGTTGTTGTACAATTTGAGTTGAACAACAGTTTCTTCTGTTAACCATCCTTGCTGTATCTTCTCTTGGCCATCTATTGATTAAGATTTCAGTATCATTTAAATTATGAGCTTTGAAGTTGATAATAAAACAACAAAAATTAGCATCTCCGATCTTCAGATGCATACAACCGATTAGACAAGAAATATGAACAATTGAGTTAAATACCTAAAACTGCATAATTAGCAATATAATAGCTAATTCATATTACATCTAGTGTCTACTTTATGAAATAATGTCTAGTAACCTTCTACGATAATGTATAAAATACAAAAAAAAAGCTCTCTTATAAAAAGTTATGAGTGTTTTTGTTTCTAATGTCATTTCATCAGTTAGGCATAACAGAGACAATAAAAACAACTCTCGTCTCTCTATGATCTTGAACACTGAACAAGAACCTTAGACATATCACGTAACAACTTTCGCAATGTTTACCACTAGAGGGACAGTTAGCCAACTTCATTCACCTGCCAATGAATCACGTCCCACTTGCCCTTGAGTTATCATATCGAACAATTACAAATCTTGTTCTTGAAGAAACTTCTCAACTAAACACTAGTTTTAACAATCATGTATTAAAGAATATGTACAACACAGGTTACCTATAAGGAGTTAAGTAACTGAAAATGAAAAAAAAACAAATTTTTACTTTTGCAAACAAGTGCTTATTTTTTTTTTTTTTTTTTTTACAGATTTCAAATACATGATAATCAAACATATTTTGAGCTAAGATCTCCAAGTTGAAAACAAGTGGTGACATTGTTTTTGATCTTACAAATGTTTCACATATACAGGGAGTC